AGGAATGACCCCTACTTCCTTATTTACCAGAAATGATTAGACAGTAAGATAATGAGGCCACAGAGATACCTGTACGGATTAAACACACAACTATCGTAGTGACTTTAAAAGTCACCTTAAATGTGCAATGACATTGCAAATTCACACTGAGGACTTTAAGACTCCAGGACAATGGCAAAATAGGAGGAATAACACTAATAGGTACTTTTCACATGAGTTTTAATGCATAACATGTCTAAGCACTACCTTTTCCATTTTATTTTTGAACAAATTAAGGCACTGCAAATCTCAGCAATAGCAGCAGCCTGTAGTTCCTGACGCACATGATCCGCTGCAGCTAGCATAGCCTCTTCCTACCTTTGGAGAGGCAGTGCTATAAAACTAAGCCCTCAAAACATGAGTCAACAGTATTCATTTTAAAACATAAAACTGACATATAAAGGTGCAACACTGATTAAAGACTAACTCAAGTGTTCAGTTCTGTCTCTGTACACACAGAACTGACATTACTGTACCAAAAAGGCACGAACGCAAGAATTTCATTTCTGTTCCATTCAGGCAAAAGAATAGCAAGGTGAAAAAATGCACCTGGTATCTGCCAGACAACTGACAGACAAAGCATATAGTGTTGGAGCCATCCATGGTGAACCACCTGCAGTAAGAAAGGAGCTACAGCCTCAAGTGTTTTCCAGAAAGTGCTGAGGAAGCCCAAGAGTGGGCCCCACACCAAAGTACAGAGCTTTTTATGACTCCTTGGCTCCCCATGAACGCCTGGCACCACCATTACAGAAAACAGCAAGGGACCACTTCGTACTTCAGAGCATAAACGGTGTTACCAGTGATCCTACAACTGTAGCTGGACTATGCTCCTAAAATCTTATGACAGAAATAAACAGCCATCTGATCAACAAATACCCTAAGCAGACCTTAACTTCTACCCAAGAGTTCAACTGTTTTATACAGAGACAGCCTACAGATGCCAGAGACCTGATAGTCCTCAGTGAAAAAAGTATCATTTATTCTTTATCAGCAGTTAATTAAAAAAATTAACAGTATGTCTTTTTTTTTCCCTACTGTCACATACTTTTCTCCCCAGCTGTTAGTAGAATGGGCTAAACTCATGGTTCAAATACACCTGGTCTCTCTGCACGCCATGGTCATCTCGAAATCTGTGCAACACCCATCCCTCTTCATTGTGCTTGGCAATGCAAACATGTGTTGCACCCACACACTATGGAAGCAGCTTCTGCCATACTCTCAGCCAAACTCAGGAACATTTAAACTACATGAAACACCAAACTGATGTAATTTCCCTTTCTGGTACTTCTCTGTTTCTTCCCCACTGCACCAGTCTCTTCCGCTTCCCTAGGCAGTCAGAAATGACAGATAAGCGAATGCAAAGAAATGGAGTGTGAATGTAAAAGGAAATATAATTGGTTCAAGACTCTCTACTGTCTTCAATTTTGTACAGTCATTTACAGCTGTCTAAAGTGTGTGAAACACTGGCACCCAAGTGAGTGAGTAGGCAATTAAGATTTTGTACTCTTTCACAATCATTCTGCACAGATGTAAACTACTGGATATGGTACAAGACAGCAACAATGCGCTGAGCGCTCTGGCTTGAAGACCGTGCCGCTCTGCTGAGAAGGATGCTGCTTTTCGCTGATGTGTCTTCACAGCTCAGTCCTGGAAGATGCTGAACCTTTGGTCCCCAATCCATCACAAGTGCTTTCGCGCTTACTTAACATTGCAAACTCATGCATGTAAATACTTCCATTATTTGCAGCGGGGTATTTTGTAGGCAGGGAAAGCAAGGCCCCAAAACCAGGCAAGCTCAGCCCAATATTACTCAAGAAGTCAACTGTTCAGCCAAACATTTTATGTTTTGACCATAAAACCAGAAACCCTTTAAACAATAATATGAGGCAAGCCAGCATGTATTAATAAAACTAAAAGCAAGCCAAGGTAAGTTGAGAGTTATTTTAGAAACTAAAATTGCCTGCGACACCTAATGCCTACACATATTTGGTAATGAAATGCAAAACTACTTCCTTAGGTCACAGACTGAAGTTCAACCCTGTCTGTAATTGCTACCAATTGATTACCATGCTGTAGCAAATTGAATGGTGGTTTTACTTAAGTTTTAAAGAGGTGTCTAAAACAGTTACATCCTTTCCTTCAAGCATCATCACAAAGAGAGGGACTAGGATCGGCAAATGAGGTTTAATTATCCCCCAACTTTCAGTACAGGTCACTGTAAAAAGGGACACACTGAGGAATGCAACTAATGTAGGAAAACTGCACAGAATGGCTGCAACAACACAGGTAGCTGCAGAGTTGTGGGTGGTCAGATAATGTTAAATTACCTTTTAAATCATTAAAATCACTAAAAATGATAAATACATGTTTTAAGTATTTAGATTTTAATTTTCTTCTGGACTACTTAACAGCACATTCTATTGATTTTTTTTTTTAAATCAGATTAAAACATAAAAGAACAGTATTCCTGTTTGCTTATTCATCTTCAGACTTTGATTATGTAAAATACTCTTAATACACATTAAGAGACTGAACAAAGCAGGAGAGTTATCTTTTTATTTAGAGTTTGCACTGTTTGAAAAATTAAAAGAACTTGTATTGTTTAGAGGAAAGAAGGGCCTAAAGTCTACAGATAAATTTAAGAAGTATGCATTAGTACTACAGTTCTCAAATTAATTGCATTAACTGTAACAGTCTAAACACAAAATACTCCTTTTCCAAGCAAACATTTCTTCTGTCTTAATTCAATCTAATAAATTCTTAAAGGGTACCAATGGGATCATCCTACAAATTGTCAGGCATAGGGCTTGTTTGTTTGTCTCTCATGACAACACATCCCAAAATACAGAACATATTTCAACTTGTTATTCTCCAAGTCATCCGCCAAGCTGCAGATGAATTGTAAACATGAAGAACATGTTAAGCCTATTCAAGCCCACCAAAAAAAAAAAAAAAAAAAAAGTAAGGCACAGAAAAGACTGCTATAATTTCCTGATGTTTTTTTTTAGGAAATCACATTGTCTATTTTTACCCCAGTTCACTAGAAGTGCTTTACCTTTCTGTTTTCTTGATAAGCACAGCCCTGAAGATTTGTTCCTGGGGAGTTTTCTCTTTTTCATCAGTTGGTTGCACGAAAGGGTGGACAGCAGCCAAGATGAAGCCCTGCTGGTACAATTCTTGCAGCTGAGCTGGAAGATCACTCAAGGAGGAGAGCTTGATTGCAGATGATCCTGGCAGCTCAGCTGGAAACAAAAAGAAATTGGTCAATAATCCTACACCGGACTATCATGTTTTTTAAAATCCAGGCTCTTCAGAGTCAAGCAAGCTTCACACTGATCTACAATGTTAACACAAAAATTGACCTTTCCCGAGGCCCATTCTGTATTTCAGATTTTAAGCAGGCTGTCTTGGCGAAGGACTTGTATCACACAAGGGACTGGCGCAATTAAACAAGTCAGATACATTAAAATGCCAAATTCACTACATAGTCTGGCAGAGATGAAGTGGAGGATTTAATAAAAACAAGGCAGTTGGTCAAAAGATATTCTAATTTTTAGTAGTCGTCAGAGTAATGCAAGTTGAGGAGAGCAAGCCATGAGTCAAAAATATAAAATAAGAGAAAGGGGATAGTCAATGAAGGTAGAACATGTCAAATTCAAAAGCAATAAACAGATGCATCCATCTACACAAAAGTTGTATTATCAGACTAGGAGATCACTGATGCAAAATGCTGTTAAGACCAAATACCTACCAATATGTCTTCAGAGTATGTTGTAGGTATATTGATAACAAAAACGCTAAGAGCAATGCATACCTGTAGTGATGAGAAACCTTTTAGAATAGACACTAAACCTTATACCTCAGTGTTTAAACTAACCTATACATATTAGAGATGAGAATGAGACCTAGTGCATGAAAATAATCCTTCCCCAATCTGCTTACTGCAGGATTTTATGCCTTCCTGTGAAGCATTTGATGCTGACTCCTGTCAGACACTCGACGTGCACGCAGATATGGCAGTCAGTACAGCAATTGCCCTTATTTCCTTGGAGTCTTGTGGGCTTCGAAAGAAAATCCCATAGATGACCTAAAACAACCTTCCATTCTCTTTCTCTCTAAGTCAGTAATGCTTCATATGTTTTTCATATCTTATGTGAAAAGACATCTTTCTTTCCTGACCTTTGCCTCTTCTTTTCCATCTTTCTTGAGGGATATTTATTATTTCATCCCTAACCATGCTAGAGCATACAGGGTGGTGAGGTGCTAGATGGTTTCCCCTCCCACTGAAACCAACAGGGAGGGGCTGTTGCAAGGAACACGACAGAGGTTCCCAGCACCTTGCAGGCCTTCATTAAAAAAAACCACTGGAGAACAGTTTGTATGAAAGACATCAGCTATGCAAAATAAGGTTTCATTGTACTGCTTTTTTCATCAAACTGTGTGGCTACCCTTTATGAATAATGAAAGAGGTTATAAAAAAAACTAATAAATATTCAAAACCAATAATACAGAGGAATCATTTAAATAATAATAGAATAGCTGTGCTTGGTATGCTTTTTCTTCATATAAGACCATGTTCCAGAAGAGAATAATGGAAATTTTTGACCAAGAACTATAAGATGCAGTATTTTTATTATTTTTTGCAAATAAAATGAGAAATCCAAGCAACGTGTACATTGACAGACAATAGGGCTCTACCTTCTACAACAGCATACAAATCACTTCAGAGTCATAAAAAGAGATGCCCCAATGAATAATGCATAATAAATAATAAAACCGACTGTTACTTACTGGACCCTACTGGGGATCAAAATGGGGAAAGAAACCCAGATGTTAGAACTACTTTTTCCCTCTTGTGGCTCAGAGACTCCAAAAATTTTAGACTATGCAGCAAATAGTTTAATTAATTAAAAGAATATGAAAGCTAGAATACCTTTCTAAATGAGGGTTTTACTTGAATACAATGGAATGGCTAAACACTACTCAGTAATGTTAATTCTGGTAATGGTGCTCTAATTTTTAACAATTATCTATGAAAACTGATGCTTGTCTTGCATATGAACCTAGTATCTGGATTCTTCTGAGGATGTCTGGGCAAAACTAGTAGAAAGTCTAGTCATTAACATGGGAGAGCGATTGCTTCCTCCTAAAAGCTAAACATGAGAAAGTGTGAAAATGCATGTAATTGGAGCCTTGGGATGTACACTTGATGATTAAAAAAGAAAGGTAATAGAAAATAGAGCTGGGAGGGATCATCCAGCTAGTCCATCCTATTACCTAGAGGCAGGATCAGTTCTAGTTTAGCCATTTCTCAGTTTTTCTCATCTATTTTTAAAAACGTTTAGTAATGGAGATTCCACAAGCCCCATAAGTCATGTTTCAGTACTTCTCTATTCTGACTATTCAAAACCTTTTCCTAGGACCTGGCCTAAATTTCCCTCTCTGAAACTCAAGATTGCTACTTCCTCACCAGAATATTTTTCTGCATCAGCATTTTACAATTCCTAAAACCTGTCATGCCTTACTCTTACCTTCTTTAGATTGTATAAACTCAGTCCTTTCAATGTTTCCTGTTCCCTTGCGTTTTCTAGATTTCTAAATAATTTTTGATGGTTCTCTCCTGATTCTCTTCAATTGGTCCACATCTTTCTTCAAGTATAGTGCCTAAGCCTCACCACAGCGATCTAGCACAAGCCTCATCACTGCTTTGTAGAATGGAAAAGCTCCTTCACGCTTATTATACATCCCATGTCAGTTTACATCATTTGGGGGGAAAAAAAATGAAATTCTTTTCCCCACAACTAACAGTGGCCAAATATCCCTGCCCTCAGTGAATTTAAGGGTTTTTTTCTTTCAGTTTTCAAGGGCCATTCTGGATTCTGACTTCCACAGTGTGAACAGCACTTCTCAGTTTGGCAAACCTCAGTAAACATACTCAGCAGTCTATGGCTGGAATAGTTAATGAAAATGGTGAATTTTAAGACTCTGGACAGAACCATTTTAAGCCTTACAGTCAATACATCTTTTTGGTTTGATGCTGAGCTACTGCTAATTTCTCCTTGGACTAGAGATCCTTCAAAACCAGAAGACAGTTCCTGTTACACAACCGATGCCCACAAAGTCTACATGAGTTCCTTGGGCCTACAGACCTGTGCTGTGCATTCTTGTTACTCTCCCACAGACAGACTGGTTCATGCAATGCAAATTCCTCGTCAGAAATCCCTGCTATCCATCATCCTCTAGATCTTTTATAAGTTATTTGTTCCAGCATCTTTGTGGGCATTAAGTTAGGCTAACAATCATACAGTTCTCTTTAAAAGTAGGTTGAAAAAGGACATCACACCTTCCTGGAGAGTCACATTCATCATTCAACAGTCTTCAAACTTAAACGGTAAGATTTCAATTATTTCTTCAGCTAATTCCTCTAAGGTGCATACCCGTAGGTTCAACTTACTTAAAAATGCCTAATTTATGAAACCAGTTGTTGATCTAGTCTTTCCTTACTTTACCTTAGAAAAATGCTAAGATATTCAGACAACCTTACACAATTTCTAATAAAATCCATTAAAACTTTTGTTTTAGTTGTTAAAAAGAATTCTAATCATGCCACTTTCAAAAGAAAAAAGAAAAATCAAAACTATGTACAACAGGGACTTGTGTCAGGTAAAAGAGCAAATGAAAAACCAAATAAAATCTTGTGTAACTCCAGTGCTTATTATAAGCCTCTATTTTGCCAAAAGATAAAGCTGAATTCTTTTAGCAGCCTCCACGTTGCTCTTGAAATGCAGTTAGCTCTAAGTTTTATATTCTGCTCCATGTTTCCTTACTTATTGTTGCACTTCACAACCTGACCTCAAAAGATTCCTTTGTTTATTCTGTCTACATATAGATGAGCGTGTAAGAAACTTGTAAATGACAGATGCTGTGTTTTTCAATTTTGCTAAGGCTGAAAGTGGAAATAGGAGTGCTGGCTGCTTTTGGAACTGATTAGAAGGCAAATTAGTTTGTTGCCTGACTGATAATTGAAGCTGAAAACACTTCCAGCAATGCTGGGATACATACAGAACACTACAGCTTAGAGATCCTTCAAAAAGAAAAGAAAGTTTGTGTTACGCAACTGATACCCGTAAGGGGACTTTCCTGGGTCTAGGGACTTGTGCATTCTTTGTTGCTAATGGAAAAACCTGACCAAATACTCACACTGTCCCCATCTTGCCACAGAAAAATCGATAAAAGGATTGAGTTGACATAAAAATCTACAGGTTGAATCATGTATATTTGAAATGAGTCATCTCTGCAGCTCCAAAAAGCAATTTATGAGAAACAGAGGAAGGTGGTGCAGTCTGCCACAGGGATCCTGAGGGACTGAGAGCAGGCTCAGAAATATGGTTGGGGAGAAAGGTAATGAGGAGAAGCGTTTCGTCCTGTGTTAAGGAGCTCCGCTTTCCCTCCCAATCGATAATCCAGGGCTGCTACCACAGAGATCAAACAGCCACCAACCAGCTTCAAACTGAAGCATCTCAGATGACCTCTGTCAATTGCGCTATGGTCCATGCTAAAGAGGTAGATGTATCCCGATCAAATATTAAGAGAAAAGACAGTTACAGCAACTGTCTACAACAAGTAGGCTAATTTTTCTGTATTAAAACAATAGATTTGGGTACCTTTGAGATGCTATAACCCAACAATTTTAAATAAGGTGTGTTATGCTTTATAAAATAAAGCATGGATTCATCTATTAGCCCATGCTTAATAAAGACAAGCATCAACTACAGTACATCTTTATATAATACATATACTCAACAGAATCAGATGCTTTTAACTCTATTCTATTTGATAAGCAGCAGTTTTCCCTTCCTGCTAGTTACGTTTATGACAAAGCTAAAACAAACTTTATTGTATTTTAATTTCTTTCTACTTGAATGATAGCTATGCTCCAGGAAAAATAAAATGTTAAATGCCAAAATGGCATTTATTTAATTTCTCTTTACTGAAACAGTCAAATTCAGGGTCAAATTTAGGTCAGTTTCTCAGTGCTTATCCTTAATACTTTATTTAAAAGGACAAGCATACAGTTCTACTCTAAACGTCTATTATCCTGTCTTAGGTGTTTACTTAGTTTGCTTACTGCAACAAAACAAATTAGATGTTGGGATTTTTTGGTCTTCAGTTTTTAACATGTTTTCCCGATTAAGCTTTTATGCTCTTATTCCAGTGACAGCTGTTAAAGACTGATGAAGCC